GAGCCTGAGGGAGGGAGGGGAGGGCCGTTGGGAGGGGTGGGGGGGAAGCTGGGAATCCCTGCCTTGATGTCCACCACTGGGGATGGTGGATGGTGGCTGGGTCAGACCAGAGCGTGCGGGGGTGGGACTTGGGAGAGGAAGGCAAGGGCACAGAGGTCCCTTCTGGAGGGAGTCATAGGGTGGACAGGGTGGGCGCCAAGCCTGAGTCAGGCATCCGGGCCCTTCTGTACCTGGCGACTCCGGTGGGGCCAGTAGACAAATGATCCAGTAGATGTGAGGGACCAGGTGGTGCCGGCCTAGAACAACCAGCAGGGTCAGGGTAGCGATGGCGGAGGGCAGCCTGCAGGGCCCAGGAAGGCTCTCCCAGATGGCGCTGGGTCTGAAGTGGTCACTCCCTCTGCCCTGCCCCTGTCCCCCGTGTGGGGTCAGCCCTCCTCCTGCCCCCTCACCCTAGCCCTCACCCTTCCTGGATCCGCTTTCCTCCCCCCACCCCCCACAGAACATTCTGGGTGGGAGACACATGCGCGTGGGCTCTGTGGGGACAGCCAGGGTGCGGAGGAGCAGGAAGCCCCCTCCCAGTCAGTTGGGAAGGGGAAGGGTGCCCAGCCCAGAGAGGCGCCAGGACTTGGCTTGGTGGGCTGGGAGGCCATGGAAGATCCAGATGTCAGCGGAGGCTAGGCCACGGCTGTGCCAGTCTCCCCACTCCTTCCCCCTGCTGAGAGGGCAGGGCTGGGCAGCAGGCAGGTCCAGAGGCCTCGGGCCCAGAGGGGAGGGCTGCACGGGGATCTGAGCGGAGCTGGAGAAGTGAGGGGCCAAGCCAGAGCCTGGGCTTCTAGAAGGTTCTGTCGACCTGTGGCACTGGCACAGACGACGACGGGACTGCTGGGTTGGAGGGGCAGAGGGGAGGAGGAGGGAGATGTGAGTCAGGGCGGGAGGAGGGCCATCCCTGCAGGCGTGGATTCTGGAAGCTTCAGTCACGGGTAAATGCGCTTGTCCCAGGCATCCCCCAGGCCTGGCGTGGCATGGCGCAGCTTGGGAGAGGCACGTTCCCCTGTGGGCTGGCCCCGGAGTCCTGCCTTCAGGGCCGCAGGGCATGGGGCACACTGCCGGGACTTCCATGAGCTCTCGGGCCTGGGATATCCCTGGGAGTTGGGTGGGAGTGAACCCCCTAAGCGCTGAGCCAGGGCCAGCTCCAGCAGGATGCCTGGCACACAGTAGGCGCTCAATAAAGGCGGCCGTGAGGTTAGCGTGGAGACTTACGGGAGGCAGGAGGGGCCGTGACTCCCAGGTCTCATCAGCTCCTGAGGACATCAAGGTATCTCGTGTGGGGGTGCGGTCACCCCATTTCGCAGATGAGGACGCGGAGGCCCAGTGGGGTCAGGGCTCGCCCAGAGGGCAGAGCTCAGGGCAGAACCAAAATCCCCTGCCTCCAGGGCTCCTCCGCCTGCACCAGAGCCATCTGGCGGCCGTGGGTGGGTGGCCCCTGGCAAGAGGTGTCCTGGCCCACGTGAGCAGGGACGCGTCTGTGTGGCAGGGCAGGTGGCAGGAGCTGGGGAGAGACCAGAGCACCTCTGTGTGACTGGCCGCCTCCAGTGGCACTCCCCTCCCCTTGGTCTCTCCCCAGGGAGAAGGCACCCAGGGAGAAGCCCACCCAGCTGGCCCTCAGACAGCCCCGCCAGGGACCCACCGATGAGGCGCAGATGGCGGCCGCCGCCGCCCTGGCCCGGCTGGAGCAGAAGCAACCCCGGACCCGGGGCCCCACATCGCAGGATGCCATCCGGAACCAGGGTGAGTGGCAGCCTCCTCGGGACCCAGTGCTTGGCTTTGGGTGGGAACAGGCACGTGACCGGCAACAGACTCCATCTCTACAGAAAATCAAAAAATGGGCCGGGCTCAGTGGCTCAGCCTGTCATCCCAGCACTTTGGGAGGCCGAGGCAAGTGGATGCCTGAGCCCGCGGGTTCGAGACCAGCCCAGGTAACTCGGCGAGACCTCGTCTCTACAATAAATTAGAAATTAGCCAGACCTGGTAGCGCACACCTGTAGTTCCAGCTACTTGGAAGGCTGAGGTGGAAGGATCGCCGGAGCCCAGCAGGTGTAGGCTGCGGTGGCCGTGAGCATGCCACTGCACTCCAGCCTGGGTGACAGAGTGAGACTCCAACTCAAAAAATAAAAAAGAAAACGCACCCAGCATGGTAGCACCTGTAGTCCCGGCTACATGGGAGGCTGAGGCGGGAGGCTGGCTTGAGCTCAGGAGGTCGAGGCTCTGATGAGCTGTGATTGCTCTTTACACTCCAGCCTGGGTAATGCAGTGAGACCCCACCTCAAAGAAAGAAAGAAGTCACCAGGGCAGTGCATTCATTCAGGGGCAGACAGGGTGAAGGACAACAGTGGCTGGGGTGGCCTGGGGGGACGTGGCCCCAGGGGGACGGCTGTCAGGGAAACTTCCTGGGGAAGGGGCTAGGCTGGAGGAGGAAGCCGGGCCAACAACTGTGGGGCGACAGCCCATCCTGGACCAACCTGGACAGCCCATCCTGGACCATCCAGGAGGCGGGGTCTCAGGTGGGCGGAGGCCCGTGCAGCGCCCACCTCTGCCCCCTCTTTTTTTCGCCCTCCAGTGAGGAAGGAGCTTCGAGCAGAGGCCACTGGCAGCGGGAGCCCGGATGCCCCAGGGACCAACTCGGTAAAACACCTGCTGGTGGCAGCGCCACACCCGAGGGACGGCCTGGGGGGTGGTTTGGACCCTGAGAAGGGCCCACCAGGAGAGGTGGGTGACTCAGAGGAGATGTCACCTCTGTCCCTGGGACTCAGCCAGAAACCCATGTTGAATGCTGGAGGTGGGTGTGGTTGTTCCAGTGTCGTGTGAGACTGTCAGGGCTCTCCCCTGTGACTCCCGGCAAGGGCACTGAGAGATCATTGAGGTCGGGAGTTTGAGACCAGTCAGGGCAAACACAGTGAGACCCCATCTCTATAAAGAAATTTGAAAACGAGCTGGGGTGGTGATATGCACCGGTAATCCCAGCTACTTGGGAGGCCGAGGCCCAGGAAGTCGAGGCCGCAGTGAGCTGTGATTATGCCACCACACTCCAGCCTGGGCAACGATCAAGACTTTGTCAATAAACAAACACAGAGGTGAAGCCGTCCTTACTCCTGCACCTCAAAACCAGCAAGGGAAGGACTAGGACTACAGTCTATGGGACTCAAAATCCCGTATCTCAGCACTGCCTTCTTCTGCCTTCCGTGGAGGTCTAGGGCTCGAGAGCTCTGCCATCAGATATTCTGGCCAGGTGTGGTGGCTCACGCCTGTAATTCCAACACTTTGGGAGGTGAAGGCAAGAGGACTGCCTGAGCCCGGGGGTTTGAGACCAGCCTGGGAACTTGGTGAGGCCTCGTCCTTACAGTAAACCAAAACATCAGCCAGGCATGATGGTGTGTGCCCGTAGTCCCAGACACTCAGGAGGCTGAGGCAGAAGGATCGCCTGAACCCAGCAGACTGAGACTGTGGTGGCAGTGATGTTGCCACTGCACCCCAGCCTGGGTGACAGCGAGACTCTGACTCAAAAAAAAAAAAGCCAAGCGTGATAGCTCACACCTTAATCCAAGCATTTTGGGAGGCGGAGGCAAGGGGACTGCCTGAGCCCATGGGTTTGAGACCAGCCTGGGCAACATGGTAGCAACCTTGTCGCTACAAGTAAATCCAGAAATTAGCTGGGCGTGGTAGGGCACGCCTGTAGTTCCAGCCACTTGGAAGGCTGAGGCTGAAGGACCACCCAAGCCCAGCAGGTTGAGGCTGCGGTGCCCGTGAGCGTGCCACTGCCCTCCAGCCTGGGCAACAGAGCAAACCTTGAGCCCCCAGAATTCCAAGTGGGCCCCTCAGGGACCAGGTCCAGAGGGTGGTGTCACTTGGCCAGGGTGTCTCTTGTGGCAAACGAGTGGGAGGGCCAGCGGTGTCAGCTCTGAGCCATGCTGTCGGGCCCGCGGCACCCAGGCGGCTTGGCAGTGGCCTCTCCGCAGCTCAGCCCCACCACTTTGCCGTCCTAGGTGCCTGAGCCCAGGGAGGAAGGCTCGATCCAGCTGGCAGTGCCTGCTGTGCTCTTCATCTGCCCGCTCACCGGCGCCACCCTCAGGAAGGACCAGCGCGAGGCCCACATCAGAGAGGCCATTCTGGAGGTGCGTGGCGGCTGTGCCCTTGCGCCCAGCCCGGAGCCTTCGGTCCTGAGCCACCTCCAGGAAGCCCTCCAGACCCTGCAACCCGCCCTGATGGCATTTGCGTTTCTCTTGGCTTTCGTTTTGGTTCTGATCTCTCTAATGAATTTGAATTCTCCAGAACTCAAACGGCACCGAGGAGGCTGGGCGCAGTGGCTCATGCCTGTTATCCCAGCATCTTGGGAGGCTGACGAGGGAGGATTACTTGAGCCCAGGGGTCTGAGACGAGCCTGGGCAACATAGTGAAAACTCGTCGCTACAGAAAAACAGTTTAAAAACGGGGTGTGGTGGTGTGTGCCTGTAGTTCAGCTACTCAGGAGGCTGAGGCAGAAGGATCGCCTGAGCCCAGGTCGAGGCTAAGGTGGCCGTGATCGTGCCTCTGCACTCTAGCCTGTGTGACAGAGTGAGAGCCCAAGGAGTAGTAGGGGAGAAGTTCTCCTGTGGTCTTGGCTGGTGGCTTCTGGGCTTTGGGTCACTCTGAGAAGGGCCTTCCCCCGTCATGCTACAGCCTTCTGTGGCTTTGCTTTTCTGCTCTGCTTGTTTGTGTTTTACTGTTTACCTTAGCGCTGACCCTGCTGGCGGGCCTCCCGCAGGGAGTGGACGGCCTGCAGCCAGTGTTCCTTTGTTTCTGGAAGCGGCTCCGTGGTCTTCCTGAAGCCCCGTCTCGTGCCCATGCCTGGGAATCCTGCCTCTCCCGCAGAGCCAGCTCCCGCGTGGGCTTGGGTCCTGTCCTGCGCACCCTGTCCCACCGCCCTGTGCCTGGTCCTGACTTAAACGTGGTGGCAGGTTGCCTCCGACACCCAAGGCAGCGCGTGGAGCTGCTGCCTGTCCGTGGGGTGGGTGTGCTGTCCCGCAGGCTCTGTCCACAAGGCTGACGTCCTGGGGTCACCTGGCCCGTTCTGCTCGGCCACCCACCCTGGCTGACTGGCCCTCGTGCCGCTGGCAAGCGGGATGGAGGCCCACGCCTGCCTTCTGGGCTACCTGGCAGGTGGCTGCGTGCTGACGCCTTCCCCGCGTGGCCTGGGCTGCGGAGGGGTGAGGGGCGTGACCGGGCGAGGGGGTGCGAGCAGATCTGCCCTGCTCTCCTCCCTCTGGGACCCGTCCTCAGCCTCTCCCTGGGGGAGCCCGGGGCAGGGTGGGGGCCAGGGTGTCCGTGTTCTGTGCCAGAGCTTGTGTGTGTCCTCTCTGCCACTGGCATCCTTGGGACCCTGAGTGGGGCACCTGTCGTCTCTCATCTGAAGCCCGGGAGTCGTTGCAGACGTCTCTCCTAGTGCTGTGAGAGTGGAAGGACGGGTGTCCCCTGTGTCCGCGGCCTCCACGCGTCTCAGTGCCAGGGCTGAGTTCTAAAGCCAGAGGTGGGGCGAGGATCCGTCTCATCAAACCGACCCCATAAGTGGGGTGAATCGGGGCTGTGGAAGGCGGAAGGGCCGGCTGGGCATGGTGGCTCACGCCTGTCATCCCAACACTTGGGGAGGTCACGACAGGAGGATCGCTTGAGGCCAGGAGTTGGAGACAGCTTGGGCAACATAGCGAGATCCTGTCTCTGAGGGGAAAAGGTGGCGCCAGGGCCAGCTTCTTTCCAGTCCTGGCTGCAGCGCCCTTGGCTGACAGCAGCGTGCCCCTCCCCTTCGTGTCACTTAATGCTGCGCCCCGTGTGAAAGTTCCCACCCAGCCAGGCTCGGCGGCTCAGCCTGTCATCCCAGCACTTAGGGATGCGAAGGGATTGCCTGAGCCCACAGGTTTGAGACCAGCCCGGGCAACTTGGCAAGGCAATAAATTTTTTAAAAAATCAGCTGGGCGTGGTAGTGCATGCCTGTAGTTCTGGCTACTCGGAAGGATCACCCGAGCCCAGCAGGTCAACACGGGGGTGGCCATGAGTGTGCCACCGCACTCCAGCCTGGGCGATGAAGTGAGGCTCCAAACAAAAAAAAAAAAAAACAGAAAGGCCGCACCCCTTCCTCCTCCCATCACCTGGGCGCACGCAAGTGGCTTTCCATGGCTTCCCCTGCCAGCACTTCTCCACTGACCCGGTGGCTGCATCTATCATGAAGATCCACACGTTCAACAAGGACCGGGACAGGGTGAAGCTGGGCGTGGACACCATCGCCAAGTGAGTGGGCGGCCCCGGGCCCGCGACAGCCTCTTCCCCGCCTGGCGCCTCGGCTCTGCTGGCCGCCAGCCCCTGCCAGCGTGGCCACCCTTCCAGCTTCCGTTGAGACCTGCTGGATGGGCCCTTTCAGCCCAGGGCACAGGGCTCTTGGGGAAGGGCTGGGCCTCCGCCAGCCTCGGTTTGCCTGTCTGTGCAACAAAGAGGTTTACAGAATTGGGGGCACCCGAACAGCTGCCCAGCCCTTCCACTGGCATGGGATCCCCTCGCCGCTGGGGCCTCTGTTCTCAGGCCCTGTCCGCTCCCCCAGTGGTTCATGGGCGGGCAGGGCACGGTGGCGGCCCCTCTGGTGGGCAGTGGTTGGGCCTGGGGGCTGCTGCTCAAGGAGTGGGCCCCAGGGGGTGACGTCATGCCCGGAGGCAGCCACACGGCCACGGGGCGGTCCCTTCCTCTGACGAGAGGCCATGTGGCTCTGAGCTGCTCCCCTGGGGCTGGCAGTTCCGAGGGGCCGGGCAGCCTGCCTGGCTGTGCCCGTTCACCCTGCTCCTGCTCCAGGTACCTGGACAACATCCACCTGCACCCCGAGGAGGAGAAGTACCGGAAAATCAAGCTGCAGAACAAGGTGTTCCAGGTGAGCACAGCCTGGGTGACTCGGCCACCACGGCCAGGGAGGCACCGTCACCGGGGCCCAGGTGGGTGGCGGGCTGCTGGGCTCGGACGGCTGGGGTGGCCCGTGCTGGACCTCAGGGGCTCCCTGGAAGCGCCGGCGTGTGCGTTGAGCCGCGGGCAGTGGTTTTGTCGGCAGAAGGTGGCAGGGCCGGGCCGAGTCCTTATGCGCCGGTCCTCCCAAATCCGTATCTGCTCCTCCCCGCCAGCATGTTCTAACTTGTCTTTAGTTGGGACTTGGGACCCTGTCAGCCCTGGGGGAATTCTCATGCAGGCAGGTGGCAGGGTCTGGCTGCCCTGGCCCGTGCTAGTCACGCCTTTGTCCCGTGCCAGTACCCACAGTCCTCTCCCATCCCCACCCCAGCAGTCCTTTGGCTTGTCAGCTTTGCTCCTGGCGCCTGGCGGTTGACCTCTGGGGGACCCTCTGAGAAGCGAGTGTGTGCTCACCTCGGAGGCGGCCTCTGGGGGCGAGTCCCTGTCCGGGGGTCAGCGGCTCTCCCCAGAGTGAGAGTGGGGCTGGTGACTGGGTGGGGCGTGGCGGGACCTCGGAGCGGCCTGTGACCGCCTCTGCCCCCAGGAGCGCATCAACTGCCTGGAGGGGACCCACGAGTTTTTCGAGGCCGTTGGGTTCCAGAAGGTGACACTTTCAGTTCCTGACCAGGGTGAGAGGTGGGGACAGCCAGGCGGGGGGCACAAGGGACCCTGGAGGGGGACCGGCCCGGGGTGTCCTGCCGCGGCGGCTGACAGGGCCCTGCTGTGCCCAGAGGGCCCCGAGGAGTTCTACGTGCTGAGCGAGGCTGCCCAGGCCCGGCCGCAGCGCCTGGAGCAGCACAAGACCCAGCTGCTGGCGGCCGAGCCCGTGCGCGCCACCCTGGACCGGCAGCGTCGCGTCTTCCGGCCCTCGCCCCTGGCCTCGCAGTTCGACCTGCCCGGGGACTTCTTCAACCTCACGGCGGAGGAGCTCAGGCGGGAACAGAGGCTCCGGTGGGTGGAGGCTTGTGGGCAGGGAGACCCTGCGGGGCAGGGAGACCCTGTGGGGCACGGCCCAGCCCGCTGACCGTGGCCGCCCGCAGGTCCGACGCTGTGGCGCGGCTGAGCATGCTGCGGACCCAGGCCATGCGCGACAAGGAGGGCCAGCGCGAGCTGCGCAAGTATACCTACACGCTGCTGCGCGTGCGCCTGCCCGACGGCTGCCTCCTGCAGGGTGAGCCCGGGGCGCTGGGGGCCAGGAGGGTGGCAGGCGACCCGGGCCAGCCCTACCGACTGTGCCCCTCCCGCAGGGACCTTCTACGCCCGGGAGCGGCTGGCGGCGGTGTACGCATTTGTCCGCGAAGCCCTGCACAGCGACTGGCTGCCCTGCGAGCTGCTGGCCTCGGGCGGGCAGAAGCTGTTGGAGGACGAGAGCCTGGCCCTGAACGAGTGCGGCCTGGTGAGTCCAGCAGCCCTGCTCCCGGGCGCTCCGGGTGCCCCTCGCGTCAGCAGGACCCCGAGGGAGGTGCTTCTCGTAGGGCGTGCTGGGGCGCAGGGGTCCTGGGCCGGGCCCCAGCTCCGAATCCCACCTCTCCGCTTGCTGGCAGCGTGGTGCTGAGCAGTCCATGGCGTTCCTGTGCCTCAGTTTCCCACCTGTGAAATGGGAGAGGGGATGAATGCCAGCTGGCGTGTCCTGTCCTCAGAGGCCTCCGGGGAGCAGAGCCAGTGTGGGATGGGACACGCAGGGGCTGATGGGGAGGACACAGGACGGCAGGGACTGGGGTGGGGAGCCAGACTCCGGCCAAGTGGGGCACCCGCTCACCCAGCCGGGGCACCTGGCACGGGGCGGCTGACTGCTGGAGACAGGTGCCACCCGACTCCCCCGCAGGTGCCCTCCGCGCTCCTGACCTTCTCGTGGGACGCGGCTGTTCTGGAGGACATGAAGGCTGCAGGGGCTGAGCCCACCTCCATCCTGAAGCCCGAGCTCCTGTTGGCCATCGAGAAGCTCTCGTGAAGTAAAAGCCGAGATGGCCTCTGCCCTGGGGTCTGTCTCCTGTGTCCTCGTCCCGTCCCCCCATAGCCTCCAGGCCCTCTCCAGAAACACTAGCTGTGCCCCATGGGCACGGGAGGGGCGTGGCTGGCTGTGGAGCCATGGAAGAGGCCAGGCCCACAGGGGTGAGCGCCGGGCCCATCTTGAGGGCTTGGGGGCAGCGCCGAGTCCACGCCCTCTACTAGCTGCTATTAACCGGGTCACGGAACCCCCTTCCCTGGGCAGGTATGGGCATCTCTCTCAGTAGGCGAGGGTCTGCAGCACCTGGCTCCCGCATGCCGTGGGCAGTGGGCACGTGTGGTGCTGGAAGCTGGTGACGGTGGCAGGGGGAGACGCTGGCTTGTCAGCACCCAGCTCTGTAATTACTAAGTTATGAGTCCAAATAAATAGGATGTTTGGATGTAGTTTCTGGGTGCCTCTTCGAAGCCATGGGCACAGGGCAGGGTCCGCAGCTGCTGCGCTGAGCGGCACGCGGGGCCCGGGTGTGGCCTCCGTGGCGGCAGGCCAGGCGGTTGCCTGCTCTTGGCGTCTGTCCGCTGGCACCCACACCACCCTTGATGGGGAGGAATCCCGCCACTGGGCAGCGCCGTGCCATGCCCTCGGGGTCAGGCACTGCAGGCCTCCCCAGCTGTCTGGCCCCAGCGTGGCCGGCAGGACGGTTTCCCAGATGGCCACGTCCTTCCTAGACTGTCATTGTGACTTCACATTGCAGAAGGGCCACTGCACACGGGACTGCACGAAGGAGCCTGAGACGGGAGATGTCTGGGGTGGCCCCGGGGCTCTCAGAGACGGGAAGAGGCTGTGCTGGCTCTGAGGGTGAGGAGCCGAGCTGAGGGCTGCATGCGCTGGGAGCGGGACGCCCAGGGAGACCAAGGCCTGGGGCCTGGGAGGCAGGCGCCTCGGCCCGCAGCTGACTGAGCGCTGGGACGGAGTGAAGGAGGTCCCCGGGCCGGGCTCTTGCAGCCACCTCAGGCGGCCCCTTCTTGCCCCGGCCGGCCTGGTGCTGCTGGGGTCCCCCCCCAGGCTGTCCCGGCGGGGGCCTGTGGCCACTGGTCCTCTGGCCACCGCCAGCTGGGTGAGGCACGGACTTGCAGCTTCAAGGCCCCAGCTGTGCGGTTCAGAGTAGTCTCAGTTGGGTGTGGTGGCTCACGCCTATAATACCAGCATTCTGAGAGGCTGAGGAGGGAGGACTGCTTGAGCCCAGGAGTTTGAGGCCAGCCTCAGCCACACAGCGAGATCCCTTCTCTCAAAAAAAAAAAAGTATTGTCTCTTACGGAGAATTCAGCCAGGAGTTCCCAACATACCTTCCTGTGTCACCACACAGGCCACTGGCAGTTTTCTTGTTTTCCCATCACTCCTAACCCATGAACTGGCCCTTGTGTTCACTGCCCTGTCCCAGGAACCCAGTGCAGACCGTGCTGAAACAGACATCCCCTGCCTGTCTCCAGGATTTGACTCTGCGTTGTTTTGCCAGTTAGGCTAACCTAGGGGCCAGCTCATGTGGGCCTGTTTCAGACAAGCCACATCCGGCTGGCCAGTGGGGGCATGGGCCATCCCTGGGCTGGGGGAGGTGGCCAAGGCTCCACGCCCTGCAACTGGGGTGTCTGCACAGGGCTGGGGAGGAGAGGGCCCTGCGGGAACCAGGCGTTGCAGGAGGCGTGTCCACCAGACGGCAGGTGGCGCCACCCTGCTCACAGCCCACTCGCCTCCTGGGGGCAGAGCGGATAAAGCCAGCTCGGCTGCAGGTGGCAAGGACGTCACCTGCTCTTCAGAACCAGCACTCCGAGACGCCCCCGGCCCAGGCCCAGGCCACGGGTCTTGTGAACCTCAGATGCGAAGCCCGCCTCAACCCTCCTCACCACCTGGGCAGGAGGACCGAGCAGTGACACAGGCCGAGAGCGCCTCACCTTGAGCTCGGCCCACCAGGAGGATGAGGACTAACAGCAGACGGGTGGGCCAGTGTGCCTACAGGCAGAGCCTCCGAGCCGGCGCCACACGGGGTGGGGGGCGGGCCGAGGTGCACACACACACTCCAAGAAGTGCTGTTTGTTCAAAGATGACACACAGCCCAGCTCACTAGAGAACGAGTTTATACACTTCCACGTGAGGCCCAGTGCCCGGTCACACGCAGTGGCAGCCCTGGCTTCAACTCATTTACAAGCATTCAGTCCTGTGCCCGGTCCTGTGCCCCTGGGGCGCGAGCAGGCGCCTGTCTAGCCATCACGTCCAATAATGCTTTATTCAAGGGCAGACGAATATGCAGCTTTCTCGAGACATCTTTACAGACACCAAAACCAAGCATCCCATCTAAAACTCTCCAAACCTCCGGGAGGTCTGCAAGGCAGGACAAAGTGCTCTTGACGCAGGCGTCGTCGGGACGGTCCCATCTCCAGACCGTGCCAGAGGACGCCCGACCCATCCACGTCATCCGCGGCAGCCCGCGTGATGCTCAGGAGGTGCGTGGCGGACTTGCCGGTGGGGGGCTCTCGCTGGTGTCCACTCCCACTGCTGCCCCGGCTCCGGAAGCGGGACCGCACGGGGCCTGGGCGTCTGAAGGGTGAGACGGGGAGGGGCTCGATGGCTGTGGCTGCCGGCGACCTGGCAAGGAGCCCCCAGGCCAGGACCCCACTGGGCTGTGGGAGGAGGGGAGGCACCCAGACGCGGCGGGGGCCAGGGTCACCGCCCCATCACCAGGTCCAAGCCTGCCCTCAGCACAAGGCCTTCCTGGCTCCCGCCTCCCTGGGAACGGATGCTGCCACCCTGGCCCGAGCTCACTCCCGCTCCGCCACCCTGTCCAGGGCCTCAGCACGTCCCTCTGCAAGGAGCATGCGAGAAAGCCCCCGCCCCGCCCTCGCCTCCTCAGGGTGGCCTTCCCTGACCTGCCCTCTAAAGTCACGGCCCTCCAAGACTCCCGTCACGTGCCCTCACGGCACTGTGGACCAGAACCGTGCCAGCGCCTCCTCTCCATAGGCAGAGCTGTGCGCCAGTCCACTGCCTGCCAGCCCTCAGGGTGCTCTTGCTGGCGTGAGCCACGGGTAGCTAAGAGCCTAGTCCAGTGTCCATGTCACCCTGAGTGCCTTCTGCGGGCACCGCCCTTCCCTGCCCACCTGGAGCCCTTCTCACCCCCAGCATCTGGGATGTCCATGATGATGCAGTCGCCGTCCTCCTCTTCCTCCTCCTCCGTGTCCGCCTGGAAGCCGTCCATGTCCTCAGGGCTGACCTGGGCAGACAGGACGCAGGGCCATCAGCAAAGCAGGCTGGCCACGTTGGTGCTGCAGTTGGGTGGGGGGACCAGCCGAGTGCAACCCCACCCTGCCGCCACACAGAGGCACTCTAAGCATCCTGCAATCTGGCAACCGTCTCAACTTGAGAAGCCTGAGAGCCTACAAGGAAGAGCCTGGGGGTTCTCTAAGAGCTCAAGTCCAGTCCTCCAAGAGCTGCCGCCACGGAGATCTGCTCGAACAGTCCACGCCATGTGATGACGACAGTCCACGCACGCTGCAGTCCCAGGAAACTAGAACACTGTTGTAGCTGTGCCTTTTCTGCGTTTGGGGACAAATACTTAGCATCATGTTACAGCTGCCGACAGTACCCAGCAGTCACTGCCATGCGGGTGTGTGGCCGAGGAGCAGCGGATCACACCGCCCAGCCAGGGGTGCAGGCCAGACTAGCCACGCAATCACGGAGTCACCTAAAGATGCATTTCACAGAACAGGCCCCTGTTAGTAATTCACACCTGATCGTCATTTGTGAATTACTCTGGAATCAAAAAGGAATTCTAGATTTCTGCCTACATTAGAATGAGGAGTGAATAAAGTACACATATTTTCTTTGAGCTTACTATTCTTTTTTTTTGCGTTGGAGTCTCACTCCTATAGCCCAGGCTGGAGTGCAGTGGCACGCTTATGGCCACTGCAACCGCGACCTGCTGGGCTCTGGCGATCCTTCTGCCTCAGCCTTCCAAGTAGCTGGAGCCAATTTTTTGATTTATTGGAGACACGGTCTCGCCAAGTTGCCCAGGCTGGTCTCAAACCCCTGGACTCAGGCAATCCTTGCACCTCAGCCTCCCAAAGTGCTGGGATTACAGACTTGAGCCACCACACCTGGCTTGAACTTACTATTATTCTTTAAAAGGTGAAGTCTCGCTGAGCCACCACACCTGGCTTGAACTTACTATTATTCTTTAAAAGGTGAAGTCTCGTTCTGTCACCCAGGATGGAGTCTAGTGGGACAATCATAACTCACCACGGCCTTGACCTCCTGGGCTCAAGTGATCCTCCTGCCTCAGCCTCCCGAGTAGCTGGGACTACAGGCGTCGGCCACCACGCCCAGCTCAGCCTCCCAAAGCTCAGGCCCCAGGCAGGAGCCTCTGGGCTCAGCCAATCTAAGTAAGTGGCTGAGAACTCGCGAGTCCGTGTTTCCTCCCTGCCCACCATCCCACCAGTCTTCTCCTGACACAAGACTCGCTCCATTTGGCTGGTTTCCCAGCAAAAACACAATCAGAAGGCTGTGGATGGAGATGGGGCTGGGGGTGGCCTCCACTAGGGGCTGAGCCTCCCGTGAGGTCCTGGGCCGGCTCCCTCTGCTTTCACAGAGAGAACCAAAGGCAGGACGTGCGAAGCAGCAGGACAGATTCCAAACACGAGCCTCCGCCCGTCTCAGTCTCTAAATGAACTAAGAAAACCACTCCAGGAGGACGAGGCACGCTGATTTCAACAGGGAGGCGAGTTCTCAACTCCTGGAATTCTCCTGCTACACAAATCCCCATTTGCCTAGAAAAGCAACAGCAGAGCAACCAACGGCCAGGTTTGTGGGCTGGTCTCCTGGCCCGGCAGGTACAAGCAGAGCCTGCCAGGCAGGCTGGCTTTCCACTGCAGCCCCCTCAATCCTGGGAGAGGGACCCCCCTCCCGCCTCCCCTCCCTGGTGGCCAGGAGCCCAGCTCCACCCCACCCCAAGCATCAGGGGTTGCCCCCGTGAGGACGCCCAGGGCTATTTGTTAAGAAGGAAGAACCTGACGTCCCCTCTAGGCCCACCATTGAGGGCTACTCTGAGCCGGAGCGCCTGGCAACACGAAGCAGAAGCAGCAAGCCCTTTCTTCGTAGCCGTCCCAAGTCACTGGCCATCCCTCCACACAGGACATGCACGCATTGAGGCTCTAGGTTTTCTCTGGATCCCCGACTTTTCAGAGCCATCACTGCCCTTCACCCTCCAGGCACGAGACAGGCCTTAAACCATGATGCTGAGTCCGGCTGTGCCAAGAGCTCTCCGCAGCTGGCCCAACTGGTAAAGCAGGCCGGCCCCGCTGCTGAATGCAGAGACGAAAGAGCAAAGCGGAGCTGGGGAATGTTTGGCAGCTACGAGGAGTGGGGCCATGTAACTGACACCCGTGATCTTTCTGTGTCATCTTGATCACAGAGTATGTTGTGCCGGAAAGGATAAATACACCCTCCTTGTATTACAGAACAGTCAAGTAAAACAGAGAAACAGAGGCCTAAGGCGCTGAGGTGTCCCAGGCCATGCAGACACTCAGTGGTTCTCACCCGAAGTCAGAATGCCTTTGGAATGCCGATTCTGAGCTCCAGATGAAAAGACTTAAATGGCTGGGCTCGGTGGCTCAGCCTGTAATCCCGCGCCTTTGGGAGGCTGAGCTGAGTGGATTGCCTGAGCCTGCGGATTCGAGACCCGCCTGGAAAGGTGAGACCTAATTTCTACAATAAATAAAAAATTAGCCGGGCATGGTAGCACGCGCCTGTAATTGCGGCTACTCGGAAGGCTGAGGCGGAAGGATCGCCGGAGCCCAGCAGGTCGAGGTGGGCGATGGAGTGAAACTCCAACTCAAAAAAAAAAAAACAAAAAACAAAAAGCAGCCAGACCGATCAGAAGCATGGACGGCACCATTCAGAGTCTAGCAACAACCACCACATCCCACGGGTGCAGAGCCGTCCGCTAGTGGCTTTACCTAGAGCCAGGGAAAGGCCCCGTTGGGGCTGGCACTGGGCCTCCAGCCCCACCTGCTGTGCTGCCTGTGCCCCTCTCCGAACGAGCCCTGGGCAGTGGCGGGTCCTGTTCCCTGCGGAAACCTGTGCCTCAGTCCACGGCAGGGTCATGGGGCAGTGTTTGAGCCCGGAGCTGGGCATGGGCCCCCAGGCTCTTGAGGGGGCCTTCGTGAGTCCCTGTGGAAGGGATGCAGAGACCACCAGCAAGGACTCCACGGCCCACACACCTCACACACTGACCCCTGACCCTCCCAAGTCCAACTGGGAGTGTCTCCCCTTTCCCATGATTAGGGAAGATACCAAGCATCCCACCGCCTGGGAGATACACCAAGCACACGAGGCTCGGGTCGCTGTTTGCCACGCAGAGATACTAGCTCTGGACACGACAGGCAGCCCTGCAGGAAGGAGCCAAAGGGTGCCCAGGTCCACACTGTGCCAACCTAGGCCCCAGGCCCCAGGAAGGGGAGAGGTGGAGCTGCCGCACAAAGATGGGGGAAGGGATGCTGCTCAGGGCCTCGATGCTGTGAGGACAAGGACACCCCACGGGGACATGTGAGGGCACGGGGGCAAAGGCCTACAAACACTGTGACAGACATGGGCTCCTGCAGCCTCCAGCCCTGCGAGCTTGGTTCTTCCAGCCTGTTCCAGCCAAAGCTGCTGACCAGGCTCCTTCTGAGACTGGACAACACCGATGACAAGGGAGTTCTGCTGTCCGAAAAGGCCATGACCCAGGATGCTTCCCACCCCGTGGGTTCCCCTAGGCCAAGGGCAGCCGCGCACATGACAGGCCATGCAGGGACAGAAGCTTGGGGGTGACAGGACAGCTGTGGTATCACACTGGACCTTGGGGGATACCCCTCTGATGGCCCTGCTTGCTGTGGCAACTTAGGAAGGTTTAACATTTCAGAGACCACACCTGTCTGCTCGCCACGGGGAGGTGGCCAGACATTGTCCAGGGAGCACCTGTTCCCACCTTTATGATCCCTTTAATGTCACAGAAGTTGGATATGCTGTGTCTCTCCCTGTCTTCCTCCTGTCCCCGCCCAACTTCAGGCAGGCACCCTACTGAGCAGCCTCCCCCTCCTCCTTGGATGCCCTCATCACGTCCACTAAGTCTAGTCTCTAAAGACCTGTGATGGCTAGGCACTGGCCCAGAGGAAGGCCCGGCACTGAGGTGGCAAAATCGGCTTCTGGCAAGGGACATACTGGAAGAGAAGTGGAGTCATGTTCACAACCCTGTCTGTGGCCATGTGGTGGGCTCCAGGGGCCCTCTGAGCACAGGGGCTTCCTCCCAAGCCCAGGCAGGAACGGCCACACGTCCACAGCTCTAAGCACTTGCTCCACGGGCGCTTTCCGTCCGTGATCATGCAGCCGCGGGGCCTCGTGGGCGCCCATGGGCATCTACACCAGGTGAGGCTTCAGGCACCCTGTGTTTGTGAGGTCCACCAGGGTGCCTGGTGCAGAGCCAGCACTTAACAACTGCACTCGATGAAGGCAGAAACAAAGAACCAAAGAACAGAAATAAAACGCCACCGCCTGGAATATTATTCAGTGTGAGAAAGAAAAGAGCTATCTAGCCACAAGCCCCAAGGAGGAGGCACAATGCTTGCCGCCAAGCGTGGGGCCATGCACTACACACGACAGCTACGGGTGTTCCGGAAAGGTAGAACGCGGAGACAGGACACAGTCAGGGGCGGTGGGGGAGGGATAGGCATGCAGGGGACATGAGAGCAGAAAAGCTTCACCGTCCAAAACCGCAGAGGTGGAACATGCTATCTGCCACGCGTCCAGGCCTTAGGACATGCGGCCCCAGGAGCGAGCCCCACGCAGACTGCGGGTGATGAGGACGTGCCCTGCAGATTTAGCAGCTGAAACCCACGCATGGGGCGGCTGTCTGTGGCAACAGGGGTGTCTGGGAACACTCTGTACCACCCGCTCAATTTTGCTGTGTTCCTGAAACTGCTCTAGAAGCAAAGTTCATCTTTCAAAAGGTGACTGTAAGCCGGGCTCGGTGGCTCAGCCTGTAATCCCATGCCTTTGGGAGGCTGAGGTGAGTGGATTGCCTGAGCCC